CTCTTACATTCTATTAGCTTAGTTTGTCGGTGTTCATCCCAGTCAATATTTTCTGTCTTCTTATTATTTTCTGCTATTTCAAGTTTGAAAATATTACAAATACTTTTGTAACATTTAGGATGGTAAAAACAACCCATGCTAAAGCTTTCCATTTCTACAATATCTGTCATTGAGTTGAATTCCCCTTCTGTTTTAGCGTTAAAAGTTCTAAAAGAAAATCTTGCCAAATCTTTATTTCATTTTTTTTTATCACCATTTTTATTTCGAAGCTTGCACCACCTTTTTTGTGCTAAATATTTTTAAAGAGCTTTAGTACTGCATTTTTTTAATGCATTTATTTGGTATATCATCAAATGAATTAAACAAATATTATTGCATAAACATTTCCTAAATGAATAAATTTTATCATTTTATATTATCGTTTACATTTTAGTTTATTGTTTTTTGTGATTTTTGTTTATATACTTTATTTTATATATTTTGTATTGAATTCAACACTCTCACTATCCATATTATTTCTTCAAAAATATTAGCTCTTCACAAATTTGGGTAAGGTTAGGGTTTTAGCTGTTTTGCAGTAAAGTTCTTTTTTACTGCAGTATGGAGTAGATTGCGGTATGGAGTAAATTGCGGTAATGCATAATGGCAGAATGTTCTTTTTCACTGCAGTATGGAGTAAATTGCGGTAATGCATAAATAGCGATGATGTTTATCTGACGGGATAAACTAGATAATGGTACTGAGCCTCTTGAAAACAGGTATGGAGTATTTGATTATGGAGTAGGCGTAAATTGCAATTATGCATAATATATGCATACGTAAATTGCAATTGCATTTATATTTGCTAATGAAAATTGCGGGGTAATGCATAAATAGCGATGATGCTTATCTGATGGGATAAACTAGGTATTGGTGCTGAGCCTCTTCGAAACGCTGTTAATAACACTGGCCAACAAAGATTTTGCGGCAAAACATTTGGGGGTCATTTTATAGGTAATTTGTTGCCCTGATTCCGAATATGACCTCCGTTTTCCTAGATTGGCTCTAGTTTTTGAGATACAGGGTGGTCACGAAAGTACATTAATAGCAACAATTTATGTTAGGTTGTAGCGTAATTCACAAAAAAAACACTAGATATATATATCAAATCAGTACAATGAAATCACAATTAATGCATTAAAAATCGGTGTCTGTATGATTGTCTTTTGTGTGGAGAATATGGACAATCACGTTGAAGGCTCTAACAATATTCATCCATCATGTGTGCATCCAATCTTCCTTGGTATCTTTCTTCCATTACCTTGATATCTTGATGGAACCTCTCCCCTTGTTCCTCACTATAACTTCCTAGATTATCGGGAAACCGAGCTAAGTGACTATGTAGAAAGTGAACTTTTATGCTCATATTAGCTTTCAATGTTTTGAAGTCTGAAAGCATTTTCTGTACAATTTCTTCATAGTTGGGAGATTTATGGTTGCCCAAAAAGTTATGAACAACCAAGACAAAACTTTTCCAGGCAGATGCTTCAATATCTGTCATTGTATATAGGAACTGCTCATCCTTGATGATTTGGCGAATTTGAGGGCTGCTAAAGATTCCAGCTTTGATTTTCTCCATACTCAAGCCTGGAAAAAATCTGCAAATATATTTGAAACATTGACCATCTTTGTCTAGGGCTCCTACAAATTGCTTCATCAGTCCTAGTTTGATGTGGAGTGGTGGGAAAATTTTTCCCCTGTCTACCAGTGGTTCGTTAATGATATTTGATGCACCTACAGTCATATTTTCCCTAGCAGGCCATACCACCTTTTTCCAGTGGTCTTCTTTAGCCCATCTATCCCACAAACATATGAAGCAATGGTACTTAGTATATCCACTTTGCTGCCCTAGTAAGAAGTTTACCATCTTTAAATCAACACATATAGACCACTGGTGCTCATTGTATCTAAGCTTCTGCAACATCATTCTTATATTTTCATATTCCTCTTTCAGTTTTGTTGAATGAAGTATTGGGATGGATGCATAACTATTGCTATTGTGCAATAAAACACACTTCAAACTTCTCATCGAACTTTCTATAAACAATCGCCAATCTTCTGGTCCGTATTCAGGTAACCCCATTTGGAGGAGGAGTCCAGGGATGTTCCTACAGTATACTATTTTTTCTTCTTGAATGAAATATGGAAGAAGTGCTGCCTCTCTTGTCCGAAAAAAAGTTGTTTTACATTCGGCCTTCAAACTGTTCTTTTCACTTAGTCTAGATGCTAAAAGCTCAGAATCTTGCTTGGATAGACTTAAGTCTCGTACTAAATCATTGATCTCTTCCTGGGAGAACTGTTGCTGTTTAGAAGTACTGTCTTCATATTCACTACCACTATCTGCATGTTTGCACACCAAATTCTGCATATCTTCTTCATCAGACACTGTTAGATCTGGGAGTGTAGTGAACACTGGACATCGGGCATGGGGACATCGTCTGAGTGTGGTACAGGTCGCCTTGCTGATTCCAAATCCGGATACTCAAATTTACGTTTCTTGAAACGATTGATACCTTTCACATTAACCAAACAAAAATAACAGTAACTGTCGTGATTCTTTTGCTCCCGCCATACCATAGGCACACCAAATTTTAAAGTTTTTCTTTGTCCATTTTTCCACTGACGTAGATTTTCGACACACGTTTTACATAAAATATGGGGAGCCCAAGACTTATCTTGGTTTCCGAGTTTCATTCCAAAGTATGCTAGATATGCTTGCTTCACAAAGTTAGTAATATTTCTTCTTTGGCTCTCCTGGCAATATTCACCACAGATGTGGCAGAATGCATTGGGGTTATTCAAACATCCTCTTCGTGAAGAACTCATTGTGTTCTAAAAACAGGAAAAAGTATATATATATATATATATATATATATATATATATATATGTATATATATATATATATATATATATATATATATATATATATATATATATATATATATATATATATATATATATATATATATATATATATATAAAGGTATGCCCTTTAAAAAGAAATAAAACTATTTTACTGTAAAATATGCATGAACGAAGATATTTGTATAAAAATATATCTGGAACACCCTGTATCTCAAGAACTAGAGCCAATCGTGGAAAACTAATGTCATTTCTGAAATCAGCACACCCGATATACTATAAATTCGTAAAAATATCCTCGGCAGCAAAAAAAAAAATTTTTTTTGTTGGCCAGTGTAATAAATGCGATTATAAGGAAAAGTTTATTACGACAACTACATAAATTATGATTACACAAAAGTAATAATATTTTTTCTTTATCTTATACCTTTTATGATTTTATATTTATGCATTTTAATTACTGATATATCTTTACATATGTATATTTATTTTAAGTATCTTTTTAAAAAAACATTTGTATCTACTGTAGATCTATGGTTACTTATGTGTCCTGATTAGTTTTTATTACATTTCTATTACATGCGCGGTGTCTAAATTATCATTATCATTTTTTACTACACGCTTTACTAGAGTGTCTTTGTTTTTGTTCTGAACATCTGTTCAATATACATATTTAATTTTTTTATCCTTTCTCGCTTCCTAATTTTTTCCTTATTTCACTTCAAAAGTAAAACATTTTTCTTTTAGGTGAAGATGATTATAAAAAAAAAAAGTTTTTATCGCTTTTGTAGTATTCAATCGTTTGTGTCTTTAAGTGGCAATTAATTTTGTCAATATAACAGGATTTATATCCTGCACTTAAAAATTTGTAAACAGCGAATCATTTAAAATTTACAGGAAGGTGAGCTTTAGATGAAAAAAGGTTGAACACTTAGCAAAGTAAATACCATTTTTACGGTAACCAACTTACAATAACTCTTAACACTTGCGTGTTAAAATTTTAAAACAAGTATTAAGATACTTGTGTGTTAATCTTCGCTTCTTTTGCTCAGATATTTTACGATATTTATATATTTTTATTATAAGGATTTTAAAATAGCAAGAGTATGTTAGTTCTTTAGACGGTAATGGAACATTATAAATACCTTTTTATAAGTAAGAACTGAGAATTTTCTATTATCCGATATGGGTCTTTTGATAATTATATTTTTTATTCAATTACTTTTGAGAATTTTGAAAAAGTTGTTAATATCGTATGGAAGACCAAGAATTTTTAATATCTAACTAGAGTTGTTTTGTCAAAAAAAATTTATGAAAAACTATTGTAATTATTACACTGCTTGACTTGCAAAGAATTATGTTAATAAAATATATTTTTGAGTTTTCTTCCTTTTCCTTGGTAAAAGTTATTGAAGGATGTTTTTTGTTGATGTAATGCGAGAATAAAATTGCTTCGTTTTCTGAGGGGAAAGCAGAAAATAATACTAATAATAAAAGTTGTAAAATCTATCCTGAATATAATGATGTTTTTGGTGCTAAAACAATGTAATCTGGAATAAACATTTTGAGCAGTTACTAATTTGTTTGCAAAAATAAACTTTTAGGCATTAATTGATTATAAAATGATACTAATTGGCTCTTTGCTCCGATACAGTAATACTAATACTATTTGGCTCTTTGCTCTTTAAAGGATACTGCTGCAAAACAGCTAAAAAATATGTTTTATATTCCTTATAATATGTGCTAGACGAGTTTCTATTTCATTCTTCTCTCTTTGACTTGCCATTCTCTTACGATTGGCAAGTCGTAGAGAATAAATTTGTATTCTGGCATGCTTAGTAATAATTGAAGCTACAAAATGAAAAAATTAACTTCGTTTTTAGAAAAGAATAATTTTCTAAGTGTTATTAAAGCGTTCCCACTCTTAACTTTTTATATTGTTTTTTCAAATTTTTAGTTTTCAAGTGCTTTGTTTAGCTTTTGTTTAGTTTTTTTATTGTGATTATACAAGACTAACGGGTGTTTGTAACGGAATTTGTCTTTCCCTCTCTCGCGTTATATTGTAAATTAAGTCATAAAGAATAAGTGATAACATAGTAAAAATGTTTATATGTTAACAAAGTATAACAGTAGTGTAACTAGTTTATTTTTAAATTGTAGCCATGGATATTAGAGTAGGAGCAATTTTGGGTCATAACAATTTGAGTCGGGAATTATATGCTATACACAGAAACCAGAAGTTGTATTTAATGTTTCATAATTTATACAAAAAATGGTTAGCTGTAACAAATCGTGAGTTTGAAGTAAAAATTTCCAGCAGTCTTAATTGGACACAGTTAAAAACAGTGGAAAAAATTTTTGATAAAGCTGTAACTTTTGGACCAAACCAATGGATGGGTAGGAGTTTATTATATTATTAAATTGTTTTTTCTAATTTACCCATAGAGATATTAAAAAGAATTCTTTATGCTTGTTTAAAACTTTAAAGTTGTTTATTTTTAAAGTAAACGGAGCCGGGCTATATTTCCGAAAACTCAGCGATAGTAACTGGATTCAAAGAATAAAGTGGAATGTTTAGCAAACTTTTTAAGCGAGTCTTTATGAGGAAAACTTTTTTTTAGTTTTTGGAAATAAATAACAGTACTTTTTGTTGCAATTGTTATTTGAGTTGTTTTTTTTGTTTTTATAAAATAAACTGTATAAATTTATATTTTATTTGTATATACAAAAAAATTGCCGCAGTTTTAGATAAGATAAAACTTTTTTTTATTATTTGACAAAAGTTGTTACTTTTTTTATTGTTTTTATGTTATACTACATCAATTTTTTATACATATATAATTTAGACAATGTAAACGATAATATGAAAAAATAAAACTTAAATGTAAAAATAGTTAAATAGATAAAACTCTCACAACAAGCCCCGTAAATAGACCGTTATGACGCAGGCTATGTTTTTCCATAATATTTTTTGATTTTTCATTGTCTTGTTTGAACCGCAGAAGACCATTATTTCCAACAACAATTTTTATTGCAGTTCTAATATCACTGAAAACCATAATTCATTAAATCCCAACAATAAGGTTTAAAAAAAATAACTTAAGATTTACTTTTTTAACCTTGTTAAAAATATTCATAGAAACTTTTTGTTTAAAAGTTTTATACACAAGCGTCTTTACTTATTCCTGACCTTAAAATAATAGGATTTTATCTCCACTTTTTGTAGTTCTGAGATAAAGTGATTTAAAAAATTGACCCTTTATACTGGGTCTGTAAGGTCACCTAGACAAAAAAAATGTACATCATGTATGATGGCATAGTAAATATGAACAAATCCCATAAATTGTTTTTAAAGTCTTCTTTACATGTAACTTATGACGATTGTTGTTTTGGTGATATTATTACCTTATTACTTTAAAAACTACTAAACTAATTATTTTAATAAAGTTCTATCAGTACATTTGGGTAAAATATGGCATCAACAGAAGTAATTTTTGTGTTTATGCAATACGAATATAAATCTACATATTAAAATTATTAAAATTGTAAAAAATTCCAAGGAATGTTTCATAGCATAGCAAAACGCAAAAGTTTTATAGCATAACAAAACAAATTTTTATTTTCTTTAGGGCCCAGCTCGTATTAAATTCTCAAAATTCTTATTTTCTTATGTAACAGAACACAAAGAAAAAGTTGAATATAGAATTGTGGTTTTAGATTTGATAGTTTAGACATATTTTAATTTCATAGTCTTTTAGACATTTCTATTTTACACAAGCTCACGTTAACAGTTTAAAATAAAAACAAGACAAAATAATTTCTTTTATGAAGTTAAAGTTCTAACACAACCATTTAAAATTTATTTGTAGTTTTAACAAAACATGTTTATAAACATACACGCAAAATAGTAAATATCTATATATCTATATATCTAAATAAATAAACAATTCGTAATAAAAATAAGTACTAATTGACATTAGCTTTAAATTACAAACATTTACTCTTAAATAAAAGACTTATAAATAGTATATTTGTTTACTGGAACACAATCTCTTAGGTTGAGTATTACTTTATTTCAACACTTGCATAGAATGCCCTGTCAACATTGCTCATAATTTCAACATTTATTTCAGGTCTTTGCGTTTCTTCTGATCCAGCTCATTTATTTTTTTGTTAACTCTAGGCTCGAGATGCAAAAGGTTTATAGTTTGTTGATTTTCTTCTTGTTTTCTAGTTTTCAAAGCTGGTCTAATACAAGTATTATTCTCAATTTCATCACTACAGTGACTTTGTTCGAAAACAACAAATGGATCTTTATATAATGTCGAAAGGACACTTTTGTAAATAGAATTTTAGAAAACTGAAACATTTTTGAGCAGGCTTGAAAATTAAAAAACAGTATTTTTCTTATTTGAATAACTATGTAAGGTGTTTGTTGTCTTACTTTCAATAATAATTGAATAACACCGACTGAGTAAAATACTTTACATATCTTTAAGGCTTTCTCAATTTAAAAATGAATGTTGTCTATCTCCTGTACACATGAGTGTCCTTAAACACTGTACTTCATGGTAATAAACCTTATGTACTCATGGTGTTTCAGGAAGTTCATAAAAGCAAAAGATATTATGTTGTTTCTGTTATGTGAACACAGCTATCACGTGATAATAGTATCACGTGATATCACATCTATCACGTGATATATCACGCATATATCAAAGCTATCACGTGATAATAGTAGTTATTGTAGGATTCTTCTTTACAATGTTTTCAAGAATCTTTATTACAGCTAAACCAATGTTATTATCTGCCCTTCCAGATTCTAGTTCAGACCAAACAGCTCAGTAGCCTTGCTTTGACTTTTCTTTATAAACTGTAAGATTCTACATATTTAATTTCCTTGAAATGAAATAGCATTTTCAACATCAAACATTAGAAGACAAACTTGTTTATTTATTGTTTATTATCCTTGTCTTTTTGTTTTTCTTCACTTGTGGCAAGTTTATTTTTGATTTGCTCCATATATTTTTCTACCAATATCTATCTAAGTTGTTTTTCTGTTTCAGAATTCCTCACACTAATCACATCGATATGTCTTGCGCATATCGAAGTCCAAATTAAATTTTGTGGAAAAAATATTACAGGTTCCAAGCTCTCATCTTGTATATGCTTGCAAATAAATGTCGTACATTTTCCTCACATTTATTTCTGATGACAGGTATTGCTTTTTTGTTGAGCTTCTACAGTAGTGACTTTCCAATACAGGGAAACTTTCAATGTTATCTAATACTTTTAACATTTTGTCACGTATTATTTTTATAACATGTTTTCCGCGTTTATCTTCTATTTTCATCATGTCATAATCTCTTTTTTCTTATTGGCATTGAAAACCATTTTTTGGCTGATGTCAAGTATTCCTAAATAAAACTACTCACAGACTCTAATTTCCATTCCATCAAAAGTAAAGTAATATGCAAATGAATTCAGTTTTCAAGATGTTTCATTTTTTATTTGCTGTCCTTCTCTTCGCATTTAAATAAGGTTTACAAGCTTCTTTTAATACTTTTTGCTAGTTACATTTTCACTCCTGAAGATGTCTCGTTTGCTTTTTTGTTCTGCTCAATGAACTTAAAAAAATAACTAGTCAGATCTATTGTAGCTTTCCATAACAATAATTTTCTATAACAAACCATTTGTAAGTATAACTGTTTGTATAAATGTATATATTTATATATATATATATATATATATATATATATATATATATATATATATATATATATATATATATATATATATATATATATATACATATATATATATATATATATATCTTTTATATAATAATGCCAAACTTAAAAGTTTTAATAGTATCCCTTGGAGCATATTTGACACGAAACTCTTTGCAGCCATTGCAACCGAGGTAGTGGCGAGTGAGAGTTGCGGCACTTTGTTTTTTAAGAAAACATGAACGAACGTGTATGCAAATTTCTAAACTATGTAAACTTTAAATTAAGTAATGTTAAAAGATACTGAAACATTTGTCAACTTTTACAGTTTGATTTTCACTTAAAAATTGCATTACGTCAAGTTCTCCGTATCTCCGTATCTCCGTAATTGCGTCAAAGTACTTTGATGTACAACATATCTTTCCGTGAATAACGTCATTACATAGTTTCAGAAAATTTTGTTTGATAACGTGCCAGCGTGGCCGAGTGGATAGCGCGCTTTGCTTCTGAACAAGTAAGCCCTGGTTCCAGTCCTACCATTGAAAACTTTTTTTTTTAATTTTTTCGACTATTCTAAAATACAAAATATTTTTGAAGTTTTATAGAGTGTTTATAAAAACATATGCAACGATATTATACACTTAAACGAACGAAAAGATTTTAAGAAAGATAATATTTTTAAAAACACTAAAACACTGGGAGAAAAAGATTGTTACGTATGTGTCATGATTTAGATACTTATGTTAATAGCGTGCTCAGGTAATTAGTCCTAATATGCTGCGGATGGTCAGAAAAAAAAGTTTTCTAAAACTTAATAAAAAAAAAAACTTTTTAAAACAGTTCTGCTACTCCAAAAAAAGCTGCAAAAAAAAAAAAAAAAAAAAAAAAAAAACAGTAGTTAAAAAATAAATTAAAAATTTATTTTGACAACAAATAGGTTTTTTTGCTGCATTTAATTTTTTACAATAAATATGTGCTGCAGCTGTTTTTCAAAACGCCTTAATATGCTTAATACGTATTTCGAAAAAAAACCAATTAAAGCAATTAAAAAGAAAATTATTAAATAGAGATGGTTAAGCGCAAACAATGTATATATAAACTCTTTGTAAAACGTTTTTTTTTAAATATAATTTTAATTTTTTCAGAACTTTTTGAAAATATGTATTCAATAACGTTTGTAGACAAAACCAAAAAAACAAAGCTAATTTAAAGTAAAAAATTTTTACCTTAAGCGTTTTGAAAAACGGCTGCAATATGGATCCATACTGCAGCTTGTATCATCCATATGGATGATACATGTATCATCCATGGTTATGGATGATACAACGAATATGTTGAAATGAGAAAATTGAACGCAAAATTTTAAAGTTCTTAACAAAAGCCACTAAGCCAAAAGAATTTAAAAGTAATTGCAGTCCAGTGCTTAAAAATTTTAAGTATTGGTGTTGGCAAAGAAACAATATATAAACGAAGAAACATTATATAAACTATTTTTTAATAAAACTAACTTATATTAAACTTTGTTGAATTGACAGGTTTGGCGCCTAACCATCCCTATATAAACAATTTATATAAAAAAATATGTTATTTGTTTATATATATTGTTTATAAAATGTGAAAAATCCACTTATAAAACGTTTTATTCAGGATCGTATGAAACATAATTTTCTAATAATTACAAATCTTTTTTGCTCAAGCAGTTTTGTTTTGATGTTTAAGTTGGTTAAGTGATTAGAGGTATGTTATATTTAAAATATATTAAATTAAAAATATATTATATTTTAAAAAATTGACAAAATTGAAAAAACACAAAACACAAAAGCTAGTGAAAACACAAAAACACAAAAACACAAAACAAAAAGCCAGTGCGCTGAATTAAATTACAGTTGAAGTTTTGACGCGAAACTATACAGAGTTTTATATTTGAACTACACCTTTTCTGGATCAATTTAAAAGGAATACGAATCAATTTAAAAGGAATACGAATCAATTTAAAAGAAATACGAATCAATTTAAAAGAAATACGAATCAATTTAAAAGAAATACGAATCAATTTAAAAGAAATACTAATTTAAATTGATTCGTATTCCTTTTAAATTGATTCGTATTTCTTTTAAATTGATTCGTATTTTTTTTAAATTGATTCGTATTTCTTTTAAATTGATTCGTATTTCTTTTAAATTGATTCGTATTTCTTTTAAATTGATCCAGAAAATGTGTAGTTGTGATAGTTTAATATGAAAATATTGAAATAAATATTAAATAAAAATCATAGTCGAATTCTCTTTATAATAAATATAGAGACAAAACATTACAATATTGACATCCAAGTGAAAAATTTGAAAATCCAATTTTAGATTTGTTAAAATTATGTCATCTTCTTATATCCGCCAAACCCGGTAATAAAAACAGCTTAACTTTAAGATTCAAAAATCAACGAATTTTTGTATTACACCAAATCTGGTGATAAAAACAGCTTTATAAAAAGATTTTAAAGTTATCTGATTCTTGGATTATGGTATGAGCGCCAAATGTACTCTAAAACGATTGAAAATATGCCTCCCAGTACCCAGTAAGCACATGAACGTTTTTAAAACGTTTTTTTATCTAAGAAAAAAAACGTTTTTTAAACGTTCTGAATGGCAATACCTGAAAAACGTTTTTAAAAAAGCGTTTAAAAAACGCTTTAAAAAAGTCGTTTAAAAAACGTTTTCAAAAAAACGTTTAAAAAACAATCTCAAATAACCTAAATAAAACCATAATTTAGGCGTCTTTTAAACTTTTAAAAGACGTTATTTTTTAGAAAATATTCCCAAATCCATAGGTACTAATATTAAATTGTTTTTAAAAGAACCTATTGGTTTAAAAAACAAGAAAAATAAAAAATTTATTTAAAAGTTATATTTAAATTTATTTTTTAAAACAATTTACAAACAAAGTAATATTATAACGATGGATTTAAGGCACTTTAAGACAAGCAAAAGTTACCCGTTTTCACGAATCAGCAATTATTGCATCGACAATCGACTCTGTGAATGATTCGTGAGAAGTCGATGCACAAACTAAAAGAAAAAACTATATATTTAAAACAGACAATCTGAACAGTAATAATAGTATTATAGTATAATAATAATATATAGTATAATAATAATAGTAATAAGTTTTTAAATTACAAATATATGTTTTAAAAATATACATATATAACTTCACATTGCATATATATATATATATATATATATATATATATATATATATATATATATATATATATATATATATATATATATATATATATATATATATATATATACACTTACTAAAACGTGTTTTAATAAGCATTTGCTCACTTTTTCTGCTTACCTTAAGCTTAACCGTTTTTTTCGAAAAAGAAGAAAAAACAAAGAATGATGAATAAAACGATTGCTTTCCCATCCCAGACCCTCAATCGATGTAGCAGAAGAGGAGAAAAAAAGGAAACAGGTTAGTATTTGGTAAATTAGAAATACAATCCCGCCTAATAATTGTTATATATAGATTTATATATATATATATATATATATATATATATATATATATATATATATATATATATATATATATATATATATATATATATATATATATATATATATATATATATATATATATATATATATATATAAACGTACCTTTTATTAAGTTGTATAGCTTAATTAGGCTAAAAAGATCCTTTGCCTTTTCCAGCTGCCATATTAGATTTGGCCATGAGCGAATTTGTTATAAATCTAAAAATAATATATTTTAATAATATTATATCTTATAATATATGAAATTATAATAAACTACTGTATTTAAAATTTTTTACTTTTTTTCCATAAAATCTAAATGTAATTAAACATTTAGATTTTAATTTAACGATACAGTTTATCTATTAATTAAATCTAATCTATTATTTAAAAAATAGCACACTAACCATTAATATAGTCCAGATCATAAGTGTACACTGACCATTAGTGTAGTCATATATATGAATATTATCTGGGTTAAAAGAATTATCTGAACTAAAGTTTAAAGCTATAGGATAACCTATAGCTTTAAACTTGCAAACTGGTAAAAGTGTAAATTGGCATTAGTGCGCCAAACAGGTTAGCAAACAATACGAATAGGCATAAATGCAAAATTTGATTACGTACAAAACAGTTACAAAAACTGGCAGAAGTGCGAACTGACATAAATGCGTGTAATAAATTCACAGTTTGGAATTATGCTAAATTTTGCAAATTTATTTGGCACACTTATGCCAGTTCGCATTTACGTTGTTTGTACTTTTGCGAATCTTTGGAACTGCTTCACACTTATAACAGTTCCCACTTATGGCAATTCACACTTATGCAAATGTTTGTAAATCTATTTAGCGCACTTATGCCAATTTACACATATGCCAGTTTGCACTTATTGCAGTTTGCAATTATGCCAATGTTTGGAATTCTTTTTGTGCAGTTATGCCCGTTTGCACTTATGCCATTTGGCATTGTGCCAGTTTTTGTAACTGTTTCGCACATATGCTAGTTTGCGCGTATGAAATTCACGGTTATTCAGTCATCCCATTATGGTAAAACGGCTAACGTAGAGCCATGCATGGGATTTGTATAATGGATTGTAAGATGGGAGTAACATCACTATAAAATTAAACAGAGTATTTATAGGAATGCACTTTTAATTTACTAACCTCTTCATCATAGCTATCACAAGTTTTTGACAGTTCTTACCACTAATATTTTGAACTCTTTGTTTCTAATAGAAAGAAATAATGGAAATCTGACAATTCCTAATTAAGTAGTAAAAATTATATATTGTAAAGAAAATTAAAAAAAAAAGAAAAATCTGTCAAATCAGTATTTAGCAATTTACAACTGCAGAGATACTACTGAGATTCTAGATGAAACATTGTCAAGTGCTGAGTCAAACTTATCAAATTCTATTATGCTGTTCATTTCAGTTACTACTTCTTCTTCACACTATTTTATATTAAGTTTTTTGTATCCTTGGGTTTCTATCTCATTTAAGAGAAGCAACACATAATATTGAAAGTCTAAACAAATTTACACTAATTAAATTTTACATTGTCTTAACTAAACTACGTAAATAAATTTAAAATACACAAATTTAACAATTTAACAACTTTACTGGTCTAAGCCTAAATCAGAGAAAAACTAATAGACAGTAAAATACCTAAAAGTGACAATGCTATATTATATATATTAGCATTTTTCTCAGATTTCGGATTAGACAAGAAAGATTGTTCCATAGATTTATAGTTTTGATAATATTGAAATAATGGATTTCATGAAGGTGATTATTTAAAGTTAAAATTGGAACCTCATAATTTTAATGATATTTTTTAATATTGACAGTCATGTTAGCATTTTACAACAAACATTACATTATTATTTTTAATTAAAGACTTACTTGCTTGAGATAATGGAAATCCATAATGTTTATCCTTTTTATTTAAAGATGATGAAGATTGATGTGTCTTAAAATGAATCTCTTGGTCATCACAATCAATATCATCTTTGTTTATTATTTTTTGACCTACACAACACAAACATAGAGAATATTTGAATTTCATCTAACAACTTGTCTTCTCATGTAACAATTTTACAATTAAAAAATTTTTAAAAATTACTTTACAGATTATTAACTTTATAAGTATAATTAGGCTATATAGTATGGTATATAATATTATAGGTTTCATACTGCTAAACATTTGGTAATAACACCAGAATATCATTAAAGAATAAAAATTTTAAAATGACATTTTAAAGTAAGTCACTCCCTTTCTTGAAACAAATCATCATATTTTTTCCTTTCAGCCTTTTTTAACTATAGTAATTCCTTTATAAAAACCACTGATATTATTTTTAATTTTTAGAGTTAAAGAAGAAAATACAGAAATACAAACACAACCTAGTTTCAACGAAGGCATACAACTTTAAACTAAAAATACTCCAATATATTTTCAAATTTAATTCTACAAAAAAACAATACAAACACTTGGTTGATTTAAATATATACTAATTTATATAATTTTTACTAAAATAAATCAATTCGCCTAATCGAAGGTCACGCCATTATTTGAGTAAACATACTTTTTTAAATATTGCCGTGCTGTACGTTGAAAAAAAGTTTTTTTATCACGCTAAAAAAACGTTTTAAAAACGTTCATAAGCTAACTGAGAAATTTCGTAAGTTAATAAAAAAAATTAAACGTTTAAAAACGCTAAAAAAACGTTTAAATTAACATTTAAAAAAACGTTTGCAAAAAAACGTTTTAAAAACGATTGTATTGGTTCTTTTAACGTCCGACCGTAAATTGAACGGAATTAAAACGTTTTAAAAACGTCCTGTGCTTACTGGGTAAGCACAGGACGTTTTTAAAACGTTTTAATTCCGTTCAATTTACGGTAAGATGTTTAAAGAACCAATACAATCGTTTTTAAAACGTTTTTTTGTAAACGTTTTTTTTTTAATATTAATTTAAACGTTTTTTTAGCGTTTTTAAAGCGTTTTTTTTAAAACAACTTACGAAATTTCTAAGTTAGTCTTATAAACGTTTTTAAAACGTTTTTTTAACATAATAAATAAACGTTTTTTGAATGTACACGGCAATACTTAAAAGAGTATGTTTACACAAATAATGGCGTGACCTTCGATTAAGCGAAGTGATTTATTTAAGTAAAAATTATATAAATTAACATAACTTTAAATCAACCAAGTATTTATATTGTTTTCTTGGAGAATTAAATTAAGAAATATATTGTTTGGCTCAAGTTGATATTGTCATATCTACTTGAGTCAACACGGTTTGTAAATTTGGGACCCTAATATCAATGAAATACCCTATGAAAACCCTTTTAAGGGGGGATAGTACATAACAATGGATGGCCATACAGAGTGATTTTGAAATCCTGCATTAACATCCAATGGAGATTTTTTACCTAAAAGTTTTGAAGAAAATAAGAATTTTAAGCAACATTTGGCAGCCTATTTGTAGTACAAAAATACATTTCTGATTTTTTATCATAAAACAAAAAATGTTAAAAACATAAATTGGGAGCTTTTTTATTTTATTCATTTATTTTCTTAATGATCGCATTTAGAAGATAAACAACAATTTCTATGATTCCATTAAAAATTATAATGCTCTCTAGAGACGAATCATCTGGAACAAAATAAAGGCACTAAAATATCACAAATCTGTTAAGAGTATTCTTGGGATTTTTTTAACACTGTTCTTTAGATCTAGATTTTCTTGCTGTTGTATTCGATCACACACTTCAGGAGTTGGCTGGCATAGTCTGGATGTGAGGAATCTCGTTTGTATCTCTCCCAATGAACTTTGAAATTGGAGTGCAGAGCTTCTGTTGCCTGCTCACTGAAGAGACCCAATCCTGTTTTCACACTGCATGTACTTTTGGAGTAACTGAAATGGGTAGGCGGATGTAGCTTTGTTTGAACTTGGAGATCTTCGATTCATAATCAGGATCCAAATTATTGCCAAAGCAAGAAATGACCACATCCTTAAATAGTGCAAGTGTTTGCATGAAGTCATGAGCTCGACTAAAGTTGTTGTATCCTGTGACCAATTGCAACTTGTCTAAACCTCTCAAGAGCTTCATGCAGTCATTCCCATTGAAATGTCCACCATGGTAGGGCTGAATAGGAATATGAAGTGAAGCTGGCCATTTCTCGGCCCCTGGCCAAATTTTGCAAAGATTTTTATACAAATGGTTTACTACTCCAAGTAACAAATGGAGCTCCATTGGAGGGATAGCTTCAAGCACAAGCTTGTGATCAGGAAAAACAACCAATGGTACGTGAATGACATTTTTGAACTCCTTTGATTTTCTTGTATCTCCTCCTGCGTTGATAAATTCAAAATGTTGTCTCCTAATCTCGCCAAAAGTTCAAGGACTTCCACAGCTTTGGAGGTTTAAAGACGAAACATCACACCAACAACATGGGTGTTTGCTGCTATGGGATTGAATGCCACACAGAATATTTGCCAACTTTAGGTCACATGATATGACCAGAGAATCCATCTGACATTTCTCTTGTACTTGGATGAGGTCAAAAATTGCCTTCACATTATGGTAGTTCTCTGGAGTGTTTTGTGCAATTGCTACCATTAGTTGCTGCTTGACACTTGTTGATTTAGTTGTTTGTGGAGACATCAATTTGATTGTTTTCTGCAGTGGGCTATGTTGCGGTGTCTCACCTTCATCCACAATGATGTGTGTGAAGCTGACTTTCAAAAAAGATCCTCCACCATCAATCCCTAGTTTCAAAATTGCAGAATCTGTCATCTTTCTTGATGCTAAGAAGACATCACTAAGACTACTGAGGTTTTGACAATGCACAACTTGGGATATTTGATTGTTTTCAGCAAGAGTGATGCTGCTCACAGTGAAGTGATCACAAAGTTTTTGGCCTGCTTGAGCGAATTTTGCAAATATATTTGCAGAGAAAATTTTATTTTTAAATTAAGTAAGTTTTTGAAAAATAAATAGATATTATTTATATTTTAATTTAATCATTTAAAGTTCAAAAGCGCTATTACCTTTTGTCAATGGCAATAACTTTTGACAAGGTTGACTGAGTCTGATAGTGCCATGAAGAGATGCACTTTTTGATGCCAAAACTGTTGCTGCAACTTGCTTTGCACCAATGGGATCAGAGGCAGCCATTCTTCTCAAATTTTCATGGCGTGTTCCAGGAGTGCAGTAGTGAGGAAGCCCACGACCAATAACTGACAAGAACTTGAAATCGATTCAAAGTCATAAATCTGAGGTACAACATTTGTTTTACCATCACACAGCTTTCCAATGTGAGATCTGCAAGAGATGCAGGTCGCCAATGGTACTCTGTCATCATTGAAGATGATTTCTTTCTGAATTTGTTGAAGAATTTTAGCTTTGAAGTTTTCAGTCAATTCTTGATCACCTTTCTTCATACAAATAACACAAACAGATTTTCTACATTCTTCATCTTTTTTACCAAATGTAGGCATCTTTAAATTCTTAAATATTTGTTCACAAAAAAATATGTTTTCCTTCAAAAACTTAAAATCTTAAAGTGTACTGCCTTTTCCCAGAATATATTTGTTTACTCTTTTCGTTAGTTTCGAAAGTTCGATTTTACGCTTGCACTGATCAAAACGCTAAATAAAGAATTATTTCAAAAAAAATGAATAAAATAATAAACATTTTACGTTTCATGGGCTACAATCTATATTTTATAAAAAAAATTAAGGGAGCAAGTTTAGTACCATTAATAGGCAGCTTAATTTGGCTCATAAATCAACCCTTTTAAAAAACCTTCATGATCAAATAATTATTTTTGATGTTAATCTCCGATTTCAAAACAACTCAATATAGACTCCCATTGGCATATACTATCCCCCCTTAAAGAGGTTTTCATAGGGTATTTTATTTTATACCATAAAAACTTTATCATTTTATTCATATCTACTTGATCAGGTAGATATGATTAAAATGATAAAGTTTTTATGGTATGGTTATTTAGATTAAATAGCTTAATTGTTGAGTAAACTTGATTGCCAAAGAAACTTTTTTAATTCTACTTATTATCAACTGCTTTTAATGCAAAAAAATTCATTTGGATTTGAGAAAAGGGAACAACATTTTCAGAGTTTTTCTTCTTTAACTTTAAAAATAAAATATAATAATATCAGTGGTTTTTATTAAGTATTTACTATAGTTAAAAAGGCTGAAAAGAAAAAATATGATGATTTGTTTCAAGAAAGTAAGTGATTTAGTTTAGAATGTCATTTTAAGGTTTTTATTCTTTATTAATATTCTGGTGTTATTACCAAATATTTGGCAGTATGAAACCTATAATATTATATACAATATTATATACCCTATTTTACTTATAAAATTAATAATCTGTAAAGTAATTTGTAAAAGATTTTTAATTGTAAAATTTCTACATGAGAAAACAAGTTTTTAGATAAAATTCAAATATTCTCTATGCTTGTGTTCTGTAGGTCAAAAAATAATAAATAAAGATGATATTTATTGTGATGACCAAGAGATTCATTTTAAGACACATCAATCTTCATTATCTTAAAATAAAAAGGATAAATATTATAGATTTCCATTATCTCAATCAAGTAAGTCTTTAGTTAAAAATAATAATGTAATGTTTGTTGTAAAATGCTAACACAACTGTCAATATTAAAAAATTTCATTGAAAAGATGAGGTTCCAATTTTAACTTTGAATAATCACCTGCATGAAATCCATTACTTCAATATTATTAAAATTATAAATCTATGGAACAATCTTTCTTCTCTAACCCTAAATCTGAGAAAAACTGTAATATATAGTAAAATAATTATTGTGCCTATACCAAAAATTAGCATTGCCACAATCAAGTATTTTACTGTCTATTAGTTTTTCTCTGATTTAGGGTTAGACCAGTA